AAAAATACTCTGAATTTCGAATAATCGCTTACAAAATTACGATGTTTACTTAAGGCCTTAAATAAAGTATTTTTGCGTACTTTATGTGTCTTGTAAAATATAACGTACGCACAGTCGAAATAGAGTACAATACTTTATAATAAAGTACGGGTGGCAACCCTAATTAAGATCTCCTTTCGCAACTTTTAGATACGGGCTATTAGTTATCTTTAAAATTTTCTTCAAAGCAAAAACTTTTCTAGGATGGACCAGAAAGGAAACTTTTACAGGATGAACCAATTATACCCTATTCAATATTTTATTGCTGGATTTCTAACTATCTAACATATATTTCGTATAACACATACTGTCGCTGGAATAATCAAGGAATGGTTCCTAAATCCCTAATAAATTTTCTCTTTGTGTAATTTGCTAGGTAAAGGCTTTAATAATCTATTTGTGGATCGATTTTATTAAAATTTGACCCTAAGGGATGTTTTTTTAATAAAAAAAGGATGCGTAACCGATGGAAATGCAAATTCTACGTTCCGACTATTTTACATACATTTTGATGAATTTTAATGTGATTAAAAATTTGGGCTCTTTTTAAACAATAAAATGCTTTGAAATTGAAGCAAAATAATTAACATTTCCTTTCATTTTTATTATCCAGTAAATTCAGCTGTTGTTGATTAATTCTTTTCATGTGCTGTGTCATTATTTTTATTAACAATACATTAATCTAGTTGTAGACATTAAGACAGGTAAAACGTGTTACGAAATTTCGTTAATTATTGCATTTAATTGCGCTTAATTAAAAGCAGTTTTCGGGTGGAAGCGGGTCATCGATCATCGCAACTTAGCTGTATTGTTCTCGGCGCTTGTTCGTCATTTTCTTCTCGTGTTTGCGTAGCGTTTTCTTTATGGGAACGTTAGCAATTAAGCATCGCAATTAAACATTTTAATGTTTAGACAGTTTGTATTTCGCTCTGGTTTACCTATGTAGATATTCCACCTCGTCGTTGTATCCCAAACAATTACTGCAACAAATTATAATTTGCTGTATTTGCAAAACGTACAAATTTACATGGAATTGGCGTAAATGGAATTATGTTGCAACATTTAAAATGGTCTGTCTTGAGTTTTGTACTATTATGGCGATTGTATTGACAGTTTATAACACCGCATATTTTTAGGGTTCCGTACCTCGAAAGGAAAAAAGGAACCCTTATAGGAAAAACTCCGAAAATCGCAAATTTGTAGTTACATCACAAAAATAATTTTTTAATTGTAATAATGTATTTATACGTTTTGGGAACTGATTTTGGGGGGAAATTTAAAAAATACTCGGAAAATGTGGGAAAAATCTTCAAGACTCAATTGCGAACTATTTACATATCTGCAAGTTTGGATAGTACCCTCGGTGTACAAGTCCGACTCGCTCTTATTTGTTCTAACCAACCTTGGCACATGTAAATTTTGTTGTGAATTCGTTTGACCATAAATTAACTTGTAAAAGAACTCATATGCCTTTTTGACGTAATATGCTTACCTTGTATTAAAATATTTAGTAATATTAATGTGAAAATTCATTTTCAATTTTCCATCCATTACAAACTACCTCAGGTTAATGGAGGTGCGATAACAGAAACAAAAATTTTCCCTGATTAACCCGAGGTAGTTTGTAGTGGATCGAAAATTGGAAATGAATTTTCACATTAATATTTGATATTAACCACATAATTAAAAATATCATTAAATATTTAGCTTTATGTGATCGTCAACTGATAGTAATAAAACGTTCTATTTCCCTTGCTATGATGCTAGTATGACATCTTCCTTGGTGGTAAATTTCGTTTCAGGGCAATGGAATAATTTTTGAAAAGCCGCAGTATCTCTGTATGTATTATATTGAACTGCAGGACTATTTGGGTAGGTTTTAATCATTAGCTCAAGAGTGATAAAATTGACTGGTGCGATCGCAGATTTTTTAATGGTGTCCCAGCACGCGTTAAAAAAATAGCTGTACAAGTGCATGTGGACTGAAAAA